CCCTGCATCAGCAGGCGGACTGTCAACCACTGTGCCACCAGGGAAGCCCTATAATTTGGGCTTTAATAACTTAAAGGAAAGTAAAAGGAAATATAAATGGTGTTGAAATTACCAATACTACTCCCACAAAAGCTATTTATCAGCCATCCCAGTATGGACTATGTTGTCCTCTGTGTAATGAGGCCAAATGAATCACTGTAGTCAAAGTCAGGGAATCTGGCACTTTTTAAATGAGTCTTTTAAATTTGATGTGACTCATATGTATGTTTTCTTTGAAAGTAATCATCTTTAGGGACAATTAAATACATGCATTGTTTGAGCAAACTCGAGTTTGTAGAGTGTACATTTATTTGTAACAGAACAGAACGGCAGTGGGCGTCTATGCTATAGATGATATTCTCGTGGTATTTGCTGCCATCCACTCTCCTTTCTAAATTTGGTGTTACAGATTCAACTTCTGTTTTTAAAAAGGGAAGTTACATATAGCTCATTCACACTATTATTTTCTCCTTAAAAGCCAGTTTCTCTGATGATTGCCCATTTAAGGAGTTTCATATACCTCAAACAAGACTTCTCTAAGAAAGCAGTTTTGAAACAAATATTACTCAGCAAGATAAAATCTTTTGTTCGATATTTAGAACATGTTTAGGAAAACAATTGACTAGTTACACAAGTGTATCTAATATAGCATTGGTGTTTACCTGAGATGTTTGCCTTAGTTTCTTCCTACTTGACTTTCACTCTGCATTTCTGAAATTTTAAATATAAATTTTTTTAAATTGAAAAATACATATTTTTCAATTTAAAGCAAGTATTATTGGACAGTTGGATAATTTTGAAAAAGTCTTGTTTATTCTGGCAACAGGTCTTTAAAGAACAGTTCTGCGTTGGTGACTAAAAGAAAAGATAAAGTCTTACCTAAGTGTTACGTCTCCTCCGAAAACCAATAAAAATTCACAGTGGCAAAGAGCTGATTCATTTTTTGTTGTATGCGCTATTTCCATTTAAACTGTGTTCTCTGTCCACATGTTTATTTTTAATGATACTTCATAGCCTGAACTTAGAGGTATTTCCTGGGCATCTATACACATTAAAGCTTTGACTTTTTTTAACTCCTCAAAGTAGAATTTCTACAGCTGAGACTTCAAAAAGTGGTTTAAATACGTTATTTACATTCCCGAAATCACCATACTTCTCTTAAATGATCTCTTTACTCACAGGTGATTTAAAGGTACACAATCTTAGATCGTTTCTACAATAGATATGAGAATGTGTATCACAGAAAATAGGATGTGAAGTTGGTTTTATATTCTTCTAAACTCCTCCGTGAAGGCAGTCCCCATTGTAGTCACCTTTTCATAGACTCTTAGTTCTGGGAAGGGGCTACAGAAACCCCTGAGCCCTAGTGCCTCATTCTGTGGGGTGTGGATGCGGGCCCCATGATGTCAAGGCCCTGATTCAGCTTCACTGCTGACTGGCTGAGGAACTAGACCCAAGATCTTCTGACCAACCACCTGTGTTCTTTTCACCGGAACCAGTGCTTATCCTAAATCTGTGGCATAGCAGATTAAGAAACTAAAAAGTCAATGATTAATCATAGCTAAGAGATTTATTTGTACAAGATCTTCAAACCCCTACTCCAGGACTCTTCCTCTCACCAAGCTGGTTCCCAGGGACAAGGATGGTCTGGAGGCTGCATGATTTCTAACATTCATTGAAGTTTTCTAGGGAAGCCCGGAGTGCTGAGTACCTTGAGAAGGGTGTGAACTGCTCAAGAAGGGAGAATGGTTTATAGACAGGAAGTACAGGGTCAACCTGCAGAGGCCACCAGGAGAGTAGTGCCGTGTGGGGAACTGGGGACAAGGAGAGAGGTTTCTGAGAAACACCCACCAAGTCTTGGCGGAGTGGCATCTGGCAGGAAGGGAGCACTGGAGTTGTCACCAGGCAAGGCCTTCGCTTTCCAGCTGAGAGAGGATGAAAGCAAGAGCTGGAGTCTCTAAGGAGGGCCGCTCCGAAGTGGACCTCACCATTTATCTGAGGATTTTACCGGAGAATAGTGGCAAATGAAGTAGGGAGGAAGCTCATGCTCAACAGATGCCATCTCCTCTAGAAATGGTTAGAAGGGACTAATCAAAAATGCCGGAAAAAAGAAAATGGTTTTAAGAGCATTTTCTTCCAATATTATCATTAAGATTTTCTTCCAAATTAGGATTTAAATACTAGCAGATTTTTAAGAGAGAAAAGGCATGTATTGCTAACAGAAAAATGACCCTCTCCCAGAACATAAGGGGCAGTCATTGCAAAGCAGTCCAATAACAAGGAGGGAAGCTTTGCAAGAGCAGCCCCTCACCGGAGTTGAAGCTCTCTTCTTGTGAAGCGTGACTTCAGGGAGAGGCAGGAAAAAACCTGACACACGTAGGGCGAAGAGATGGAGAAGAATCTGCAGTAGTAGAGAAGTTAACTGGCTCCTTTGGTACCGTGAAGTTTTAACTTGCTAGTGGCTGAAAAGTACTGAACCTGTCCATGCCATCTTTGTGAGAGTGTTTAGTTTAACAAATCATCGTATCCTGTATCAACTCTTTGATAATCAGTTAGGTGATGTGAGACGTCCAGACTTTATTTTGAAGATTTATTAATAGATTTCAGTGATCAGTGAATGGGAAGTCCACATTCAGTTAGGATCTCTGTATTTTCCACGAAAAGATTATTTAGCCCAGCTGGCTGTATATAATGTGTTTAATAACTGAAACGTTTATTGAGGGGGTAGGGGCATAAGACCAATGTTTCCAAGGTATATAGATGGATGATTATTACCAGTATTTCATGTGGAACTTGAAAGGTAAAATGTAATAAAGGAGAAAGAATGAGCTTGAAAACTGTCCTAAAGTCTTTCTCAGTTTATGTAGACAGCTTGTCCTTGTGTCAGTTCTTTGGTGCATACTAATTAAGTGCTAAAAGTGGCCTTCAGTTAGTGCAGTAGTCTGGTTGTTTGCAAGATGTGAGGGCACAGAAACTTTCAAGAGAAGCAGTGAAGTGCAAACTAGTACCCAGAACTACAAAGCAATGTTGAGAAGTACCGCTCTGAAATTAAACTCATGAGTATTTTAAAAAATTACCATCACAGTTCTATACTTACAAAAGCAATATTTCTTTTCTCCCTAAACAGGTATGTTCCTGATAGTTAAATGTGGATGACTGGCCTAATTTCTTGTATGTGAAAGTGAGAGGGAGAAGCTCCTAACTCTAAATCCTGAGGGTAGGATTATTGTAAATGGACTTCTAAATGTTCTAGAGAGTGAAAGTGTGAAAACCACACTTATGTGTTCACTAAGCACTTCTTGTTCATTTGCTAGGAATAAACTATATATATATATATATATGTATGTGTGTGTGTATATATATATATGTATGTATATATATGTGTGTATGTGTGTATATACACACATACTTTTTTTTTTTTTTAATCATGCATACTGAAGGGAGTTGATTTCAAAAGCTCAAGGAGGGCCTTTCCTTAGCCTCATGGTGTTGGATTCCCAGGACCAGGCAGAAATTGCTCTGCTGGCCTGTGGGGGACTTGGCCCCAGGGGAGGGGGCCATGAACCACCTGGTGTGGGACTACATCAGCAGCTGTTGAAGCTGCCACTTCATCCTTTGACTTCTTGGTACAAGATGCCAGAATCTAGAAGTGGGGGAAGTGGGACTTATATATAACATGTGCACTGATAAGACATTTACCTTCAAAAGTGTGGAAAGGTGAAAAACATTTTCCCCCATAACTTAGATTGCTTTCCTAAGAACTCAAACCTTTACTGAGCACACACAGAACACAGTACTTTAGCAGAATCAAGCATCCACTCTGAAGACTTAAAAATTGTCTCTTTGATCTTAGTTCTTTTGGTAATTCATTTGCTAGAAAATATCCAAGTGTCACAAAAATTGTGCAAGTCTAACTTGCTGCTCACTTCAATTCATGAATAACAGTTTCAATTTATTTTAATTTCAACAGAGCCTGTGGCCTCTGCTACAGAGATATCACAGGAAGAGATTACTGCAGCTTCTATTTCAATGGCTTCTCCTTAAACTGAGCGCTGAAAGTATAAGTGAGTGGGTTGTTAGGAAACTGTTGGTAGGTAGTGTCCTCTCTGAAAGGCAGAACTCTAGAAATGAAAAATATCTTGGCTTCATGGCAAAATGTTTGAATATTATGCCACCCAGGCACAAACTGAACAGGACTTGCTGAGGGCCCTGAGCACTACTTCCACGATGTGTAATTTGGAATGCCACTGTAACGCAACTTTCCAAAGATATCCACAAATAATTAGCTTCTGGCATTGGTTATACTTAAAGAAAAATCTGTGTAACCTTTTAATTATACTGAGGGG